AGGGACAGTCATGAGGGCTGCACAGAGAAGGGGCGTCTTGAACTGACTTCCTCAGCTGCAGAGGAGCATTCTAGTTAGCGGACAGGGGCCGATGTGTCTGCCAAGGTAGAGGAGAAGGAGGGTGGAAGCTGTGTCTCTAAAGGATTCAGTCTTGGGGACGCCTGTCCCCAGCACAGTCAAAATGGTCCCTGCAGGGCTAACCTGGGCTCCAGCTGTGACCCCGGGGCCCAGCAGGTCCTGGCCCTTCTGGGGGTTGGCCCACAATATTAGGGGCAGTGCCTCTGTATCTGGGCCCATCTGACCATCTGCAGAACAGGTGGGTACAGAAGCTTCTCTAAGGCCCACCCATCCTGGCGCCTGGGGCTCAAGAACCTTTATGTCCCAGTCCAGGCCCAGGGGCTGTGGGTGGGCTTCGGGAGTGACCTTGAGGCGAACTCACTGTGTCTCCACCTGGCCAGGTGCTCTACAAGCTGGCATGGAGTGAGAGTGTGGAGAGGGACTGTGCCACCTTCTGCGCCAAGAAGTGAGGACCCCCGCCTGGTCACCCCCAGCACCCCCTGAGACACCCCCAAGTTCCTGCCTCATATCCCCCACTCCTTAGCCCTCCATCACAGCCCCCTATTCTGGTCCTCCCCCCTGCCCCCCCGCTCCCAGTGTCCACTATCCCCCCCAGCCCTACCCCATCACACGGTACAGAACCCCTTCCCCAACACACACACTCAGCCTCAGCAAAGGTTCTTGTGTCCCCCAGGTTTGCCGACCACCTGCACAAGTTCCACGAGAATGACAACGGGGCAGCGGCTGGTGACTTGTGGCAGTGACACCCGGGGCCTCCCCAGTGACAGTGACGGCTGCACCCCCACCCCAACTGCTCAGTGCTTCCAATCACTTAGACTCCCCTGAAGAGTCCCCCATGGAAACTGCTCTTATCCGCTGTCCAGCAGCTGCCAGAGGCCCCAGGTCCCCCCGGCTCCCCTTGAAAGAATGTCCAGAGAGCCAGCCCCCAGGTCCCCCCGGCTCCCCTTGAAAGAAGAATGTCCAGAGAGCCAGCCCCCAGGTCCCCCCGGCTCCCCTTGAAAGAATGTCCAGAGAGCCAGCCCCCAGTGCCCAGCCAGGCAGAACCACAGAAACCCTCAGCCCCCACCTCAGGCCAGAGCTCTGCCCGAAGCCTGACCTCTAGCCCTGGTGGCAGAGGTCCCTCAGCTTCGAGACTGATTGGGTGACCGCCGATTCCAGCTGTGGTTAATCCAACTTGGGCCTGTCTCCACTGCGATCCTCTTGTGCCCCCCTAAGATCCTCCCACACCCCATAAGAGGTGGAAGGCGCTTCCTTCCAGGAAAGCAGGTTTTGAGCCCAGCACCCCCAGCCTGCCTTTGCCACCGGCCCCACCCTGCAGAGTATAAGGTTTGACAGCATCTGCCTCCTCCCCCACTGCACCCCAAGAGAGAGAGCCCCAGCCAGCGGAACAGTTTCTATCACCCCTTCCCTGCCCCCAGACCCATGTGATGCCTGCTTTCTTCTTTAGCAAGATATTCTGGTTTCTAGGTAAGGAAAGGTCTCTAGCAATCCCCGAGCCCCAGTCTCTTCAGACCCATGGACTGGTCTGAGGGGTCTGAACGTGTCCTGGCCAATCAGAACTGGCCTTGGGCCACCCTAACACAGCCACCTCTCAGGGCCACTGGTCGACCTTCCTAAGTTAGATTTGCAGTTGCATATTTAGCTTTGCACATTTGAAATAAACCATGATTGCAGCCACCCTGGTGCCCTGTGCTCTGGGATGCTGGGGGACAGGAGGCTGGTGGGGACACCTGCTGTGCCACCTCTGGGAGCTGGGGCTGGCCTCACAGCTGGGCGCACAGGACATCCCTCACCCTCTTCTCATCTCCAGGAATTCCATGAGTACTTTCAGAGCTCTGCTGAAAAAAATATCCAGTGTCTGAGTGCTTTTGAGTTGACAGCACCATCAAAAAGGGAAACTCACTCCTTTATTCAAAACCACCCAGGCCCAGTGCGGTGGCTCACGCTTGTAATCCCAGCACTTTGGGAGGTCAAGGCAGGTGGATCACTGGAGATAGGAGTTCGCGACCATCCTGGCCAACATGGTGAAATCCCATCTCTCCTTAAAAATACAAAAATTAGCTGGACATAGTGGTGCGCACCTGTCATCCCAGCTACTCAGGAGGGTGAGGCAGGAGAATCGCTTGAACCCAGGAGGTGGAGGTTGCAGTGAGCCGAGATCTCACCGGTGCACTCCAGCCTGGGCGGCAGAGTGAGACTCCATCTCAAAAACTAAAACAAAAAAAACCACCTGTCGGGCTGTGGGTGGGTGTGTGACGTGTCTTGGTCCACATCAGTTCCTGGGAAATCTTTGCTTCCCTTTCTCTGCTCCCCCTTCCCATGGGCCCCCACTTGCCAGGGGCTGCAGAGCCCAGGACCACCAGTCCCCCTGAGCACCACCCTCAAATGGGAGCCCCCGTGAGCCACAGGTTCTAGGCCACCTTACCTCCAGCCCAGCCCCAGATGGAGAAGCACATTCTCTGGGTCTGGAGTGGGTGCATTAACCCATTCATCTTCCAGGTGGCCTACGAGGCTAGCTACAAACCCAGCCACTGCAGCCCACCATGCCAGAGCCCCCTATGCTACCTCTGTCTCCATTTTACTTTTTATTTTATTTATTTATTTATTTTTGAGACGGAGTCTCACTCTGTTGTCAAGCTGGAGTGCAGTGGCGCGATCTTGGCTCACTATAACCTCCACCTCCCAGGTTCAAGTGATTCTCCTGCCTCAGCCTCCCGAGTAGCTGGAACTACAGGTGCCCACCACACCCAGCTAGTTTTTGTATTTTTAGTAGAGACAGGGTTTCACCATGTTGGCCAAGATGGTCTTGATCTCTTGACCTAGTGATCACCCGCCTCAGCCTCCCAAAGTTCAGGGATTACAGTCGTGAGCCACTGTGCCCAGCCCTCTGTGTTCATTTTAGTTCTGAACAGTCTAATGCGTATATATCCAAGGGCCTTTCTTTGGGGTCCCCCTCCCAGCACCCCTCATCATCTCCCCCATCGGGACTGCCTCCAAGCCACCCCAAGCCTCCTGCCCTCAGGGACCCTGGATGGGCCTGTCCTCCCCGACCCTCGTTCCTATCCCCAGCTAAGTGACCGCCACTCTTGGCCAACCACGCCCCCTCCACCCCCACAGCCACTTCCACATCTCCATCAGTTCCTCCTTCTGGGTCCGAGGCTCTTTGCCGCCAGCCCTCCTCACTTCCTCTTCCCTGGGGATGGATCCGAGCTATTGTTCTGCCCATGGCTTCCCATCCCAGGACCCTCCCTGGCCATGGTCATCCCAGCAGTGGAGTTCGGCCCACTACTCTGAACCAGGTTAGTCTGCTGCAGGTCAGGCTCTCCCCTCTCCCGGGAGGGTGGACACCACAACCAGGACGTGTATGGAGCCTCCCTCTTTCCCCACTCTTGGGCACCGCGTCCTGCCTCTTCCCAGCCTCATTCATAGGTGTCTGGTTTCCAGCCAGGCGTCCAGGCCCGTGTGCAGCTCCAATGGAGGGCTTGCCTACTGCTGAAACTTTCATTAGTGTCTGCTGGCCTGGTCCTGTGGAGGGAACAGAGGGGAGGTGTGGGGCAGGGAAGGGGCCTGCCTGGCTTCCGTGCCCCCGTGGAGGGCAGCACCAGGCTTTTGGGCAGCAGGTGAGGGCTCTGTGCCCCCCACCTTCTCCTCTGGAAGCTCCACTCTTTCCATCCCTAAGAAGGGGTTAAAAACCCTTGTCTGTCCAGCCTCCTGGGAAATTAGTTGTGAAATGGCTTTGAGAAAGGTCAGAGGTCAGTATGGGCTCAGAAGGTCGACAGATGGAGGCAGCTCCCGCTAGCAAGGAGACCAGGACAGAACTGCCAGAGGTGGGGACAGTGGACAAGGAGGGAGATGAGGGAAGAAGACACCCAGGGGTCCCCCCTTGCTATCTGCAGAGATGAGAGTCATCTCTGAGTGGCCCTTTCCCTTTCCTCGGCCCCCACTGAAGCCCTCCCTCCCCTCTCAGACCCTTTCCAGGCCTGCTGAGCCCCTGTACCTCTTTTGGGAAGTCTCTCGGAGCCCCCCCACCGCACTCCCAGCATCCAGGGTCAGGCCACAAGAGTCCCGCAAAGCCGAGCAGGACTGTTTCTTAGCCCGACTTGTCTCTGCCCTAATGCGGGCAAGTTCTCGAGCCAGGCAGGGTTGAGCTAAGTGCCAGGGCTGTCGTTCCTCATCCCCCCTCTATGACCTCTGACACCTCTCCGGGTGGCATCAGGACCCCATAGCAGGGAAGGTCGGGTGGTGGGGGCACCGCGCTCTGGGAGTCTGCCCCCTTCCTGTGGGCGATTTCCTGCACCCGGTGGGCTGGAGGGAGGGGGCCCTCGGGATTTATGGGAACCAGACGTCGACTTCCCTCGTTGCGACATCCAGGCCTCCTCGAGGCTCCCATTGTCCCCGCTGCGGAGGGTCTGGCCACAGCTGCGGCTCCAGCGAAGCATCCGTCACCGAGAGGCGCTTCGAGGGCGTCCGTGCCCCATACACCCGCCACCCGAGACATTCCCCCGACCCCACGCGCCGCGCTCCCGGGGCCACCACTGCGGGATTGAGGGGTCGCCTCCGCGCGGAGCAGGGGGATTCCCGCGCCAGGCCTGCGGCCGGCTCGGCAACACGGGGACCTCCACCCAGATGGGGCGACTCAGGGCGAGCTCCTAGCCCCTCGCCCCAGGGCCGGGCAGTTTCCGCACCGCCGCCACCGGCGCCGCTCGGGCTCTGCGGAGGGCGAGGGGCGCGGCGGGGGCGGGGCCTGAGCGGCGCGAGGGAAACGGGCGGGGGCGGGGCTCGCGGAGGGGCGGGACATTGAGGCGCGGTGGGCGGGCGGGGGCGGGGCAGGAGGTGCGAGGGAGCGGGGGGCTCGCCGCGGGGGCGGGGCGGGGAGGTGCGAGGTGGGCGGGTGGGGCGGGGCTCTCCGCGGGGGCGGGGCCGGGAGGCGCGCGCCTTGCGGGCAGGGGGCGCGCCGCGCGGGGCTGGGCTCGGAGCGCGCGGAGCTCGGCAGCCGGAGAGCCGCGAGGGGGACGCGCCGGGACCCCAAAGAGCGCACAAGCCTTCGACACGGTGGACGAGGGGGGGATCAGCCGCCGCCGTTGTCGCCTCCCTCCCGGAGGGAGCCCTGTCCGCCGCGGGCCATGAGCCACCGGGCCCGGGGAGCCTGGCCGCGGTCCGGGCAGCGCTCCGCTGGCGCCCCGGCCCGCTCGGCCGCAGCTGCGCGCCTGTAGGTATGGCCTCCTGGTCCCCAGTTCCTGTTCCCTGGTCCTCCCCCGGGACCCCCGTCTGTCCCCGGGGGCGTGCGCTGTGTGCGCACCGATGCACCGGGGAGAGTGGCCGCACGCGCCCCGGTCCGCGCGTGTCGTCTTTGTGTGCGCGGGTGGGAGGGAGGAGGGCGCGCGAGGGAGGAGACGCGCCCCCGGCTGGGATCGGCTCCCTGATCCCATCACGGGCGGGGCGGGGAGCCGCTGAAGGGGCCGAGCTGCCTCCCGAGCAGCTGCGCCGCCGCCCCCTGCTAGGGCTGTGGTCGGGTGGTGGGGCGAGCGCACCCGGGCCCTTAGAGGAGGGGTCTCTGACTAGGGGAGGGGGCGCCCAGGTCTCTTCCCAACGCTGGGAGCGCAGGGAGGGGGCGTCAACCTAGAATGAGGGAGAGAGCCACGGAGTAGGATCGGGAAGGAGCCCCTGCAGGCCACAGCCTCCGGGCAGGCACGCCCTCCCTTTGGCCCAGGCCCCCCATTCTTGCCCTGCCCACCCGGGGAGCTCCCCGGCAGCCTCCGGTCGCGGGGAGGATCGTGGAGGGTGCCCAGGAGGCCTGCGCCTTTAAGAAGGGGCGGGTTCGTGCCCTCCATTCAGGCCCTTGGGCCTCGGCCATTGATGAACCTGCGGGCAGCGCGGGCCGGAACCGCGCCAGCCCAGCAGGCTGAGGCCAGGCAGAGGAAGGGACGCATCCCGGCCCCCCGCATCCCCGAAGTGGAGGCCTTTAGGGAGGGAAGTCTGCAGTGACTAGGGCCTCTCAGGAGCCTCGCAGGGCAGACCGGGCAGCCCCAGCAGAGACCCCGAACATGAATAAGCCAGGATCTACGTGCACAAGCTAAGGGCATCAGGGTCGCTGTTCAGCTGGTGCAAGGGAGAGCCTCAGGCTAGGCTGTCAGACCTGGGTAGAGCCCTACCAATGCCCTCGAGCCAACATTACCTACCCTGTAAAATGATGGTGCTGCCTGCCTTGTGGCTAAGGGACCGGCAGCAGTTGCATCTCAGAGGCAGGTCCCTGGAGCTCCTCTGAGAGGACAGGGGGCAAGAGGTGTGGTTTCCCCAAGAGGTTTTGACTGCCCCCGCAGTCAAAGGTGAGCCCCCGCTACTCTGCCCCACCTTGAACTCTCCCAATCCCTTCCCTCCTGGTCTCCCCACTCCATGCAGGAAGAGGTTGGAAGAGTGACCTAGAACTTCTCAGTTCCCAGAACTTTGGGAGAGGTCTGGCTGTGGCGGTGGTGGCACTACTTTTAGGCTGGTGTAGATCAGGGTTTTGGGGGGGTCTCAGTGGCAGTTTCCCCCCAGCCACTTCCTTAGAGGTCTGTCCCACGAACATCCAAGAACAGCCCTACCCTACCCCATAGCGGGCTGGCTTCTGATGCTGGAATGCACACACTTTTCTATTTACCCTTATTGTGAAAAAATCTGTCCCAAGCGTCTAAACCCCTCTTCCCTACTTAGCCTGGGTCTCCTAGGGAGGACTTCTGTACAGATACCCACGGGTGGGCTTCCCTTGGGGTTCTTGGAGGTGGGGTCTCCACCCAGGTGATCCTGGGCTTCCCAAGACTGAGCTCTCGGTTTCGAACTTGTGCCAAGCTAAGGGCATCAGGGTTGCTGATCATGTCATCTTCACAACAACCCTGTGGGTTTAGTGCTTATTATCTCCACTCAGTTAGGGAGGGGAAATGACTGGCCCAGTCCCCCAGCCAACAAACCAGGCCTCCCAGCCACTCCTCTCTGACAACAGCCTGGCACTTCTTGCCCTGTCTAGCCAGCCTGGGTTCCAGGGAATTGGGGGTTTAGGGACATCAGGCCTGCTGGCAGTTGTCTTCATGGGGCTAGGGGCGAGTGTAGAGGCCTGCTGCTCTTTCTCACTGTCCAAGTGAGGCCAGGGAGCTCTGGGGCCTGGGGAGGTTTCTCTTCCCCCTCACCAGGCTGGGTGTTGTTTTATGGCTATGCTCTGTCTAGGGAGATAACAGGTGTGACCCCTCAACACGAGGTCACAGCCCACACCTGTTTGGGCAGAGCAAGGACGGGCATCGCTATGTGGGTGTGAAGCACCTTTTGGTTCCTCTGGGCAAAGCACGGTTTGGGCCCCATACTTCCGGCCCATCTGAGAATAGCACCCACCTGGGGGGCAGGGAGGACGGCCAGCCAGCCAGCTCATGGTCTGGTGGAAGAGATTGGCCACAGCCATGTGGTGTGGTTGAGGGGCAGGGGGCAAGGGGGGAGGTGGGGCCAGGATCAAGGGGCATGCCCAAGGCCTCCGTGGGCTCAGAGGCCTGCCTGCTATTGGGGCAGAACAGGGGAAGTAGGTGGGGTAGTGCCCGACTTTGTGGTTCGGCTCCGTGCAGAGGACAAGCAGGAGTTGGAGGAAGAGGATGTATTAGAACTTGGATGTGGTGAGTTTGAGGCACCTGGAGATCAGCCAGGCTGGGAGTTGAGCCCAGAGAAAGGCCTGGGGAAGCTTTATTCACACCTGCAGTCCCCGGAGCTCCAGGATGCTCAGATCTTAGGGGTGCCACCCAATGTCTCTGGAGGCATTGGTATGTGTGTCCTGGAAAAGCCAGAAGGCAGCTGGGTGGGATGAGTTGGTGGGGACTAAAGGGGTATCCTGCAGGTTTAGGGGACTGGGCCAGGACCCACATGAGGCTTGGGACACTGGGGGAGTGGAAGGGGCCAAGCATCTCAGGCCAAGGCTGGAGAAGTGAGGGACCTCTTCTCTGCAACCCCAGAGAGGCAGGGTGGGGTGGTGGGAGTGAGCAGGGCCAGTGCAGCTGGAACCAGCCCGGCCTGCTCTCCACCTGCAGAGCCCATCCAGGAACTGTCCAGCACTGGGCACTCCTGAAGGAGACTGAGTCTGCCTCTTGAGCCCCCAGGGCCTGGCTTAGCTTGTTGTCCTGGCCCCCACTCCCTGCTCATCTGACCCCCACTTCCTGAGGAGCCCATCTGTGAATTCCCCTGCCCACCCCCAGCCTCTCAGAGTGTACCATCCTCTAAAGGCGGGCATCTCCTCTCCCGAAACAGAGACTGGGTCCTCCCACTGTGCCCTTGTAAGGGGAGATCAACAGAAACAGGTCTCAGAAAGGGACCAATCTGGAACTTGGCTCCATACCCCTCTTGTTTGTTTGTTTGTTGTTGAGACAGAGTCTTGCTCTGTCACCCAGGCTGGAGTGCAATGGCGCGATCTCAGCTCACTGCAACCTCTGCCTCTGAGGTTCAAGCAATTCTCCTGCCTCGGCCTCCTGAGTAGCTGGGATTACAGGCTTGCACCACCACACCTGGCTAATTTTTGTATTTTTAGTAGAGACGTGGGTTCACTGTGTTAGCCAGGCTGGTCTCAAACTCCTGACCTCAAGTGATCGGCCCTCCTTGGCCTCCCAAAGTGCTGGGATGACAGGCGTGAGCCACCGCATCCAGCCTCCCCTCTTACCCGTTCTGTGGCCCTGGACCCTCCCACCTGGCGTCTGACACACAGCAGGCCCACCACTATGTGGTGGCCAGTGTGTGGCAGGCTAGTCATCTCCCTCCCCAGAACCCAGTTTCTCCATCTCTACAATGGAGAAACATCTGTTTCTTACGGGGAAGATGTGAGGGGAGAAGGGTTTTAACAGGGGTATGGCCCGCTGGGGTGTGGGTTGTAGAATGCTGATGTTGGTCATGCTGGAGGCTGGGCGTTGTGTTGGGGTGACGGGTACCTCTGCAGCCATCTGCTGCGAGCAGCTGGAGCAAAAGGGAATGGATAGAGCTGTGGTTTTTTTTTGTTTGTTTGTTTGTTTTTTGAGACATAGTCTTGCTCTGTTACCAGGGCTGGAGATCTCAGCTCAATGCAACCTCTGCCTCCTGGTGATTCTCCTACCTCAGCCTCCTGAGTAGCTGGGATTATAGGCGTTTGCCACCCTGCCAGGCTAATTTTTTTGTATTTTTATTAGAGACGGGGTTTCACCATGTTGTCCAGGCTGGTCTCGAACTCCTGACCTCAGGTGATCCACTCACCTTGGCCTCCCAAAGTGCTGGGATTACAGGCGTGAGCCACTGCGCCCGGCCAGAGCTGTGATTTTTAAACAAACTAATCTTCATGACAGCCCCATGTGGTTAGCACTGCTCTCACCTCCATCTTAACAGATGGGGAAACTGAGGCTCCAGAGTCCAAGGGGTCATGCAGCTGGGCAGCAGGAGAGCTGGGATTCAAATCCAGACAGTCTAGCTCCAGATTTCAGACTTTTAACACCAGAAGTGGCCGTAGAGAGGTGCCCAGGCAGTGGGGCTCCCTTTGCAGGGGAACAGCTGTCAGATGCAACTGTGGGAACCCCTAGGACTGAGGGTCTGCAGGCCGGTGGGGCTTGTCAAGCTTGGGGTGTCTGCAAAAGCGGAGGGGCTCAGCAGAAGGGCTCCCAGCCTTCCATGGTGGTGGCAAGGCAGAGTGTTGTGTGACAGGCCTGGGGTTGTCCTGGGCACAGGACTGTTGTAACAGCGGCCTCCAGGCAACATTGCTCAGGGCAGGCCTTGGACTAGAAAGTTATCTACAGGGAAGAGCAGCTAGGGAAGCTAATGCTCAGAACAGCCAAGACTCCTTAGTACCTACGCACTCACACAGAGGTATATAGCTCTTAATCCACACCTGTCCCCATTGCCAATCAGAAGGCCCCCACCCACCCACTCTGCAGCAAAGTCACAGCAAGTTCAAGAGTGTTAAGACCAGAAACCATGCCTACTTTGCCTTCTGCCAGGGTGGTGGGGTGAGTGCAGTTACTCTGGGAGGGGAGGGTTGGGGAATTCCGGCCACATCCTCGCTCTGGCGGGAGGCCCTGGTTCAGAGCCTACCTTGTGGGGATGCGGTCTCTGGGGAGGTGAGGAGGAAGATGGACTTGAAAACCAACGCCCACGTATTCAGCGGTGAAGCAGAGACTGCGCTGTGTGCTCTGTTCTTGAATCTGCAGGGGAGAGAAAGACTCATACCTGGTCAGCGGGTGGGAGTCAC